TTTTTTTTTTAAACAAGTACAATTTTTGGGGTAGTAGGAGTGGTTTGAACTCAACTCATGGGGCTAATACGTGCACCTTTTACAAAAGAGCTAATAAGCCTAGGTGCCTAAAAACGTTACATGGTAAACTTAAAGGAATGGAGGAGGAGAATTTAAATTACAAAATTTTTCAATGTTTACATACAAATACCAAGTAGTTGTTTTTATATACCAAAAGCAATGAAATTCATTGGTAATAAAAATAAATATTACATTAGTATTGTTGGAGTATAAAATTCATATGTGAGTGGAGTGGAGTAGTGTTCAAAAATCACACATTAAAAAGAAATAAAGTTTCAGAGTGCAATATAAATGTCAAAACCCATAAACTTGATAGGCATGTCTTTGGATTTAATAAAATATCTCCTCATATGTGTTTGTACATTCTCACCCATGTGCTCCTGAGTGAACCTATTAAACTCTCCCAATGGCTCCCCCAACAAGTGGTATCAAAGTCGATAGTTTGATCTTGGTGCCATTATTGTTCGAGGATAGGTTCGATCAACCATGGTAGTAGTGATCTCAAGGCAGAAATTAAAGATGTGATATCAATGGTAAAAGATGCATGAAGTCATCAAGAGGACAGACAACGTTACATGTCTTTTGGATTTAATATGATGCCTTTCATATGTGTTTGTACATTTTTACCCATTTAATATGATGTTTTTTCATATGTGTTTGTACACTTTTACCCATGCATTTCCGAGCTGGTCCATTAAACTCTTCCACTAAGTATAAGCACTAATAACCAATGATTTTGCCCATAACATATATGCGGAGAAGGAGCAAGAATGAGCGAGGTTCAAAGGTGGGAGGAGCTGGAGAGAGAGAGAGGGGTGGGCGGCTAGATTTTATAAGAGGTCTAAAGGAGATGCACGTTTTATTCATTCCTAATTGAAAGAAACAAAGGCAGAAGGTAGCGTCATTTCATTTTGTCGTGGTCAGGAAGATGGATGTCTTGTTCAAGGAATAAAGCTGAAAGGGGATTTGCATATCTTGAAATTAATACAAACTGTTTGGTTTGTTTCGGGTGACACTCAACCAGGTCACTCAATAGAAAGCATATTATAAGTTGGAGAGTGGTTCGAATCGTCTAATTAGTAATCTCAGCCAAGCAAGATTTTTCTTTAATCTTCGGCACGCATATCCAGAATCAGTTGGACAAAAAGGGGCCAGAATTAAAGGCGAAGAGTCAATTTTTGTCCCCTTTTCCTTCACTAACAGGAGATTAAATTTGAGGTAATGCATCGAGACATTGTAAGTGATTTTTTGAACCACATATTCTTCACTATCTCTCTCGTTTCTCAGATTCATCCCTACGCATCCTATTGTTCCAAATTTAAAATACCAACTCTTGATTTCCGCCATGCAGCCCACTGGTTGGGCCGCGCTCCTCAATGAGGTGCAGGTGGAGATCACCCCTTGTCTCGGGTTCAAGCCCTCATACTTGCTAACAGATACTAACACAATTAGACTAACCAAGTTTCTACTGTCAAAAAAAAAAAAAAAAAAA